TGGTATGGCAATATTGCATGGCAAACACAAGCGACAGACCCTAACATGAAAATCAGGATATGCGTGTCATGTAACATGACTACATGCCTCGCTAGCGTCACATATGCCAAATATGGCATTACAGTACGTAAATGAACGACGGAGGTATGTGAGTGGTGCAAACAAGATAATCATGAGATACGTTTCATGTAACAACATGACTACATGCCACGCTCATGATGTGCTGATGACCGTTTCGCTAGCTTCAGTTCCACGAAATTTGCTATTACGGGATGTGAATGGATGCCGAAGGTATAATACTGGTGCATATCATCTAGCATATAGTCATGTAACAACATGACTACATGCTACGCTCATTAGGTGCTCGCGGCCGTTTAGCTAGCTTCACATATACCAAATATCGTATTACATGACGCCAATGGATGACGAAGGTATGTGACTGGTGCAAACACGATGATCATGAGATGCGTCTCATGTGAGAAGGTGACTACATGCCACAGTCAAGGCGCCAATACATTTCGACGTGACGTGGTGCGCGTGCCCGCCAGCGTTGACCTGCCCGGCGCCGGTCCTGCAATATACTTGCAGGCGCCAGCCGCGCTGCGTTGTTTTGACGCATGCGCGTTTCAGAGCGTCTGGCGTCCCTCCGGCACGAAAAGAGGAAGACGCAGTGTTGTCTGGGTAGCGCATTGGCGCGAAACGCAGCATGTCGTATTTCGCACCGGTTCTGTCAGGCCGCGTCACGGACGCTGGTGACGGCTGCCGTTAGACTATATAGTGTTCGTGTTTTGATAACGTAGCGTCACTGTGCCCAGCGTGCGTGCACTCCAACGCTACGTTAGAGCATAATAGGCCCTTCATGATAAGCTCGCAGCCATTTTGCTCGCTCCACAGTACGAAATTCGGTGTTACGTGACGTCAGAGGATGACGAAATATATGACTGATGCAATGCATGATAATGCTGACACGGGTGTCATGTAAGAACAGACAACATACCATGCTCATAGCGTGCTCGCGGCGATCTCTCTAGCGCCACATATACTAAATTTTTTATCACGTGACGGGAATAGATGACGAAGGTAAACGACCCATTCAAACATGATAATCCCGACACGGAAGTCATGTACGGCATTATTTACCTCCAACTCGTAATGTAGCACTGATTTTAAAGTGACATATCAGTGTTTCTCATTCTTGCTTCGGATGTCATTGATTGCCACTGTACGTGGGATCTGCATTTTTAATAATTTTTCCAATTTCCACGCATCTTTGCTTGCTTGCTTGCTTGCTTGCTTGCTTGCTTGCTTGCTTGCTTGCTTGCTTGCTTGTTTGCTTGCTTGCTTGTTCCTATCTTGTGGCACTTACTAAGTGGGATTCGCCAAGAGGCCGGCGGGTGATGGGAGCAATAACTTAAGATTATGCAGGCTATAAAAATACTAATACTTTGCTTTGTCTTGACGGGATAATTTTTGCACAATGTAAAAAAAAGTGAAAGAAAAGAAATAATCACATTTAAAAAAATTGAGGCATAATCATTATATGGGATTCTCCTGAAAGTCGAGTCTTTACAGTTTAATATTGAAATACTAAATGTACGAATTGTTGGTCAAAATCGATAGCTTCTTCGAAGGCCTATAATCGAAGGCCTATAAACATCGGTACAACAAACTAACCATTGATGGCACCACTTACGTTTTCGATCGCTCTTCTGACAAAGTAATCCCCCTCCACCCATAGCTACCACCTCCCACCTCAGCGAATTCTAAATTAAACCCTGAACTTTTGTCAATTGTACACACTAACATTAGAAGCCTCTTGCCGAAACGCGACTCGCTCTTTAATGTTATCTGCACGACAGAATGCAACTTTGTTCTCTTAACTGAAACGTGGCTAAACCCTTCAATAAGCGATTCCGAATTAGCACCATGCTTTCCTGGCTTTACTATTTTTTGGCGAGATCGTGATGGTGAGCGTGGTGGTGGCGTCCTGATAGCTGCTCACAGTAGATTAAATTGCTCCCCAGTGGTCTTCCCTTTCAGCCTTGAATTACTGTTTGTCTGCTGCAGAAATTCATATCCTCCGGTTATCATCGGAGTCTGTTATCGCCCCCCTGACGCAGATGCTTCATTTATCACTAATTTCCACAGTGCTCTTAACTTTCTGAATGCCTCTTATCCTAACATGCCGGTTATTTTAATGGGCGACTTTAACTTCCCAAGAATATTCTGGTCTAACCTCGCACTCACAATATCTAGACACACTATGGAAAGCGACTTTGTTAACACGTGCCTAACATTTGGTTTATCTCAACTTGTTTCATTCCCAACGCGAGCTACTGAGCACTCTTCAAATATTCTGGACCTCATTTTCACGTCACACCCCGACAATCTTGCATCCCTAGTTCCTCTCCCAGAGATTAGGGATCACGCTGTGCTTCACGCTTCGTTTTCTAATCAACTATCAGGCAAAAGTCATTCCAAAAAAACCCTCACACTCTACGATAAGGGTAACTATGCCGCCATTAACAACGAACTATCCATATTTTGTGAATGGTATTTAAACAACTTCTTCCAACGCCCCCAGTAAACTAACTGGTCTTTGTTCAAGTGCAAAATCCATAATTTGATCAACATATTTATACCCACAATTACAATTTCGGAACGGGCGTCTTCACCTTGGTTCAACATATCTCTTAAGCGTCTTAACGATAAGAAAAAGCAATTATATCGCTCGGCTAAACTGTCTAACAGCGCGAGCGCTTGGAACAAGTACCGCGGAACGGCAAAGGAATTTGAATCACTCGCTGCGAAGGCTAAGCGTTCTTTTTTCTCTTCTACATTACCTAATATGCTACGAAATAACCCTGAACAATTTTGGAGAGCCATTACCCCAACCCCACAAAAACGTTATCCTTACTTGATGAACACGGCGATCCTATTCCAGAACATGTTACCCTTCAAGTACTGAATACTGCCTTCTCCTCCGTATTTACCCATGAATCTTGCAGCCCGCTTCCAGACTCCCCATTTCTTGATCACACTCTCATGCCAGGCATTATATTCGATTCATACGGTATTGCAAAACTAATTGACGAATTGAAACTAACGTCATCCGCGAGAATGGATGGCATCAATTCCAAAATTCTGAAAAACACCAAGCCTATAACAAGCATTATTCTTTCGCACATATTTCAGCAGTCCATTTCATGCGGAGTGGTGCCGAAAGACTGGAAGCTTGGTAAGATCGTTCCTGTCCTGAAAAAAGGTATTTCATCTTCACCGAGTAATTATCGCCCCATATCCATCACAAGTGTATGCTCTAAATTATTGGAACACATAATTTATTCCCACATAGTAATTTTTCTACGTTCAGTACATTTCTTTCACCCTGACCAACACGGTTTTCAAAAAGGACTTTCATGTGACACTCAATTCGCCCTGTTCGTTAACAACCTGAGTGCTAACCTGGATAATAACATACTTGTAGACGCCATTTTCATTGATTTCGAAAAAGCCTTTGACAAAGTTTCTTACAACAGATTATTTTTGAAGCTTTCACGTCTTTACCTTAATTGTCTTGTTTTTAATTGGATATGTGACTTCTTCACTAACCGTAAGCAGTTCGTTTGTGCTAATAACCATCGCTCTTCCCTATCCGCTGTAACCTCCGGCGTACCTCAAGGCACGGTCCTTGGTTCTCTACTATTCCTAATCTATATTAACGACCTCCCCAATAACTTAGCGTCTAACTTTCGTCTGTTCGCAGACGACTGTGTCATTTATCGTCCTATTCACAATTCTAACGACCCTGTCAACCTACAGTCTGATCTTTGTTTGATTCAATCATGGTGCGAAAAATGGCTGATGTCCCTTAACATAAAGAGAACTTGTGTCATTTCCTTCCATCGCCGTCAATCTTATTCCTCCAATAAATACTTCCTATTTGATTCTGAAATAACAGCAGCTAATTCATGTAAGTACCTCGGTATCACTCTAACTTCAGATCTGACCTGGTCATCCCACATTATGAACATCACTAATGACGCCAACCGCGTGCTTGGCTATCTCCGAAGAAACTTACGTCTAGCCTTACCTTCTGTTAAACTTTTAACCTATCTAACACTAGTCTGCCCGAAGCTAGAATACGCATGTGCCATCTGGGATCCCCACCAAATAACTCTTATTAAAACGCTTGAAACTATCCAAAATTGTGCAGCCAGATTCATTTATTCTGACTATTCCTATCTTAGCAGCGTCACCGAAATAAAATCTCAAGCTAACATGGTTAACTTAGCTCCACGCCGCAAAATTTTAAGACTGTGTTTGTTTAACACATTTTATCATGCATTGCGCCTAAACCATGTTATCGTTCCAGCCCATCGTCTTTCATGCCGTATCAGCCATTTGAAAGCGGTTTATCCACCCCGGGCGCAAACCACTGCCCATCACTCTTCATTTTTTGTGCAAACATCAACAGAATGGAACGATCTTCCTGCTGACATCGTGCACCACTCCAGCATCGCCCATTTCAAAGAACCCATCGAACAAATCATCTGTTTGTGAACTGTCTACCCCCTTATGTAACACCCCTTGACTGGGGCCCTTGAGGTATTATAAATAAATAAATAAATAAATTACAACGTCCAAAGTGAAACAAATAAAACTATTTTCTTGGTATGAGATCTGTCTCAAACTGCTGCATGCACATAATAAGGTATTAATCTGTTATATTTTATACAGAAAACGCAGAAGTAATTGTGGGTGAACATTCATCGGGAATATAAGGTACGGACAATTTGGATCTCTTATTTATTAGGTTTTATTGGCGTGAAAATGTGTCCGCCTGTATCCAAGCTTATGTATGTCAACTTTACCGGACAATTATCTCCAGATGAGCATTATTACTTGACTTGATTAATGATGTAAACTTGCCAGTTTGGCACTTTTGATAATTCAAATAAACGTTCTACACTTCAATACTTTATTTACACAAATTAACGTTGGTAAACTTGGATTTTCTTAAACTGCTAGGCACGTTAGTTCATTTTATTTGCACTGCGTTCACAAACATATGCGAAATTGGGTGTGACTTCATCGCTTGTTCTTGCAGGGTTTGATTTTCTTGAATACTCCTGCTCTTTTTGTGTCCAATTCAAATCTGCTATAACACTTTCCATATCCATTGTATCCGTTCTTGACGCGGAGTTCGTACTGATTACCTAGAAAAAATGTGTTCAGAATTTTCAATGGGTTACGACATATTCCTATTTCAAAGTGTCTTTTATGCATTGAGTAGAACCGACTAAAAATATTTTAGCACCTTTCCACTAGGGGTCACCAAGGCTGAAGAAAGTGAGAAGCTGCATACTCGCTGGTTCTCTTTCGCTTCCCTTTTCACCCTTTCCTGCTTGCTCACTCTATTTCTCTTCCTCATTTCCACTTTTCCCTTTCTTTTAGTTTCGCTGTTGCGTCCTCTAGTTTTCTTTATTTAGTGTAATTTCGCTTGCGGTATGTCAAGCGTGCTATTCTTTATATCCTCACGATAAGCGACGATCTTCAGGGCGCTCACACAACAAGAAACGCAAAGTTCTTGGCAAAGTTCTTGGTTCGATTGCTTGTTCGCCTTCCCTGCACTGATCGACTAACGCAGCTATTCCAGAATACAATTCACCAATTTTCTCGTCCAGAGCATCAAGTAAACGTTTTGTTCACTCTCTCCACAGGTAAGACTATCGTCTTTCGATGACGTTTGCAGTAAAACATGCAAATACAATGCTTTTTTTGCAGTTCTTTGAGCTTATTGCTTTGATGAACGCAAGAACATTGCTCACAGAGTATAATGAAGCTACAGCACAGCCAGTGCGTTTGACTTCAGTGCAATGTGCTGTGAAGACCTGTAAACGATCAATTTAGCAATACCACTACCAAGTTCGAGGTACTGCCCCGCCGTGGTGGTCTAGTGGCTAATGTACTCTGCTGCTGACACGCATGTCACGGGATCGAATTCCGGCTGCGGCTGCTGCATATCTGTTGGAGGCGGAAATCCTGTAGGCCCGTGTGCTCAGATTTGGGTGCTCGTTGAAGAACCACAGGTGGTCAAAAATTTCCGGAGCCCTCCACTACAGCGTCTCTCATAATCATATGGTGGATTTGGGACGTTTACACCGACATATCATCATCATCAATTTCGAGGGACATTTCGACGTGCTGCTTTCCAAGGCAATATCGATCACCTTATTTTCGCACGAAATCAATACAGTTTTATACGAACGATATTATTATTATGTAAAACTTATAAGGGTACTGCTGATTGATAAATAAATATTGAAATACACGATGACCATGAATAAATAATAAAATCGTAAAACAAAGAATTCATACTGTCGTTATTAGAAAGCAATGCGGAACGCCCCTGGGACTGTGTTTTTTAATGTCACAGATTTTCGGAGAGGCTGTAATAATTGGCATCAGAAAGAGAAATTGATTCACTCGGCTACACCTCCCAGCACTTCTATGATTCTCTGATATACACCGTCAAGAACACAGTGCAATCTTACTTGCGTTTTTTCACACATTTTTATTGCGCGTAGTTGCTGTTACCGTCTCGTCCAAAATCTTGTCTGTCCCCTTTCTCGACGGCCAAGCGCAGGTTCAGAGTGCTAAAAAATGCAATTCACATTGTCGCAGAAGCATGCATTTTATTTTTCATTGAAGTGACACTTATGATTTACCTGTTTTCAAAATTTATTAGATTTTGTTAGACGCGAAAAAATGCTCACCTTTGCAAAATCTCTAAATACATCTTCAGCTATTGCTTATACTTATCACCTTCGAATGCACGGAATTGTAAAAAAATTATTTTTTCGTTATAGGGATGAATTTATAGCCACATGACTTTCACCGAGAGTCATGTTAATGTGTAAACCTGCAAGCTGTTCTCAATCGGCAACGCAAGGGCAAATTACAAGGCATTTTTATGTTGTCAAAGAAGTTCAAAATCGAATATATTGCTCTATAGTGCGTTACGGGGTTAATAGCAGTCTATCTAGGATGGCGATGACCACATATGTAGGTTGTTCAGGACGCTGCCTTGAAGGTAGTAAAGAGGGCTATAGCGGCCATGTGTTTTCGTTCTTGTGCTGCAAACTTCATGCAACAACACAGTGTCTGCTAATTTTTCTTCTCAGCCATAATGGCTTTCCGCTGTTTGCTTGCTTTCACATTGCATTCGTGCATTCGAAGGTGATAAGTATAAGCAATAGCTGAAGATGTCTTTATAGCACCTCTATTTCACTCTCATTCTATTCCACGGAATCGGAACTTGCCACAATTAAATTAATTTGGATTCGTCGAATGAAAAAATTTGGCCCATTCTGACTGCGGGAATGGCCGGGCATTTCAACCCCATTCCTAGTAATTTCTCGATGTAGAAAAGATGTTTCGATAGCATTTTCTAGTTAAGAATAAAACTTATGTCGTAGGACGCATTAGGAACAGCAAACCTACGAAAAACATGTTTTGGAGGTTAAAGGATAGCAGTTTGGTGACAAATCTTGTGCAGTACAACCGTTCTACTAATTCCCACATGGGAACTTCTCACGATACCTATGGACCTCGAAAGCTGCTATGAGAGCGCTGCTGCGTTTAGACGATGTCGCGAAAGATTGACACGCACGGCCACTACTGGTGGCGCAGATCGAGCACAAATTCACAATAATAATAAGCGCTAAAGAAACCTTAAAAGCGTTTGCGTATCTCGCACGTTGCGCCACCCTTATTCAACGCTGTGATCGCTTGCGCACTTGAGCCTTCTACGCAAGTACATACAATTTGTTTACAGGCAGCTGAGCTGCAGATAACCTGCAGCGTTGCTGCAGATTTTATCGCAATCGTACCCGCAGCACTCTTGCATGACCACGAAACAGCTTGATTCCTTTGAACTGCTGTTTTGTCACCTACAAAGTAACTCGCAATTGCAACTAATTAGCAGCGCACCACGTTGACGAACTGCGCCTTTTGGTCATTGAAAACTGCAGTGCATGGTCAGCGCATGGTCAGGGAATGTTGGTGTTGTAGTATTGTTTTACTCAAAATTCATCAATGCTAAAATTAGGAAATTTTTATGCTGACAAAAGTGGTTTTGAAGTAGATTAAGCAATTTCGCCAAGCACCTGGAGTGGTATTTAATATAAAGAAAGCTTACATTCAGTTGATAAGGAACAAAATCTGTTCTGGAAATCTGAAACAGTGCACCACTCAGGCACTTTTTGCCTTTGCATTGCTTATGGAAGACTTGGCCGCACTGCTTGCCAGCACTCGCGTTTGTAAAGCGCACTTAGCATGTATAGATGGGGTAAGCAGAACTCTCTGTATTTGTTTTGCTTGTGTAATAAGGTATCGCTCTGTTTGTTTTGTACGCATTGCCAGATCGTTCACACTTTTACACCAGCCCTACTCTCTGCTCTGGCTAACTAAAGATCAAACTAGAGAATCAATTGGGGCATTCTACTAGGAAAAATAAACATGTACTACGACCTTCGAATAACGCGTTCGATGCTCTAACCACTTAGCTACCACAGTGGCCAAATAAACATGTACTCCGGCCTACATGATTGATTCGAGCATCATAATAAATTATTGGCAGTTAAGCGCGCCGAAAAATCTTTTTTTTTCCAATACTCTGCTTTGTAGAGCTTCCCAAACAAATGTTTTCAAGAGTTTCTTTTTCGCTGTCTGTGTACGGAGGAGGAAGTCACGGAGGAGGAGTGCGACTATGTGCTGTGCTGACCATGAGACTTTCGCCGACAGAGTTTCGGGCAAAGGAGCCCTTGTGTCTAGACAGAGGGGAGAGTATAAGAAAACAATGTGTAAGTTGGAGTCGAGTATAAGGTGGGAAGGTGCACAAGCTGGTATATGAATGCTTGCAGTGAACACAAGCATGGCGCCAACGTCAACACTCATCACAACTTTAAGAAGCAGATTTACGAGTATGTGTCCGAGTCAGCGATTGCGACGGAAGCACAAACAAAAAACAAAGAATTGGTGCGTGGAGAGATAGGAGGTGCCAGAGGCGCCATCGAGAAAAAAAATCACAAAGCGTCAGGGTGGGCATACCATCGCTGTAGATCCGCGCGACGGCTGCCAACAACATCAAACGGCGGTTACAGGAATGATACAAAAAAATTTCGAAGCACCACAGTTGATATAAGTACATAATTTTAATAAACGCGTTGCTTATATTTCCACTGAGCTGGCAATAAGCCATGCCATTGAAAAATACCGTTTACATTTAAAGTAGAGCCTCTGACTTGGTAATGTTCCAACTTCGCAAAACAGCGCTTAGAAAAAAAAAAACAGGCTTTTTTTCAAAACTTACATCACTTCATTCCCAAGTCATACCATGCAAACGTCTCTAAATTTAATTCTCATACAATTCCTTCTAACGTTGCTTCACGGAAATGAAGCATTTAAAGTAGTTTCGCCCTCCCATTTCATTCTGAGGTCGCCAAAACGTGGAGTGATTCAGGAGTAATACCAATTTTGGTGTCGCAACTCCGCAACATTGATATTAGCGTGCTTTAAACGGCAATATTAGTGTGTCTCAAACATAATATTAGTGTGTCTGATGCTGAAAGGGAAACGGAGGAGGTCACAACTATTGCAAGAACAGATAAAAATACCAAATATTCGGTCACGCACATGATCTCCCACAAAATGTTGCAAAACGACACAACGTGCCAGTGAACTTCTTTGCTCCAAATACCTTTTTGAGGCTCTTCGCCCGAATTTCATCGAGAGGTGTTATGGCAGCGTGCGACAAGAAACGTGCAATGCCTGTTCCCTGCATTTCATGTCCACGGGGCCTGTTTACAAGATGCCCCTAAGCTATGGCAAGCCACAGATAGGCCCCACAGGGCGCTGCACAAACAACCTCTTAAGGGAGCATTTTTTTATCAATTAAGAATTGAACAGGGTTTATTTACCCTTCTACTGTGCTTCCTGTGGCTGTACACCGCAGTTCAATCACACACGACTACTTGCAAGAAGCCGGAATGCACTGGCTTGAGAGTTGCTGGACGCCTTTCACATTAGGGAGAAAGGTGATTCTTGCGTGAGCGTGTCGTAAGTTTTGCTGCATAATGGCGAATTTACACTGTTAGTGCTAGATGTGCTTTAGATGAATTTATTACGAAGTGTATGGCAATTTTCTTTTTTTTGT